GAATAATTCAATTACCTTGAAAGAGAAAATCTTTGATGAGGGATTTTCTACATCACACTATTTTTATTAGGTAATCCAGAAACAGCTGTGAAATCAGCTTCATTAATCTAATGCAGTTAGAATTACTTATTGTAAACTCAGAGAAATGTCAAACTAATTTGGTTCTGAAGTGTGTAATTTTGGTTTGAAGAGATTTTCCACAGCAACAACATTTTTCCAGTTTTCCATTTTGTTGTATTTCAGCTTGGATTGTTTTGATGAGGTTCATCACCCATAGCAGCTGACTGCCTCTAACTTCTCTCAGACTTTTAGTGCTAAAACACTTTGTGAATAACTCTAGGAACAGGACTGACACGTCTGTTATCCTCAGGACTTCCTCCTAACTCTGCCAGATAGGAGCCACTTTTAGCCTTAGTGTGTTTTGTGTTTACAGCCCCAGAAGAACGATGGAAATGTGATTACTCCAGAGGTGGGCAAAATGATATCCATCAGTGTTTTAGGCAGTAGGCCTGCACTGTTTAAGCCTGTTGCTGAAAAAGATGTGGAAACACTTGATAAGCTGTCCTCAGCACAGAAACATGACCTGTACACTGCAGAATCATCTGGATAATGTTGACAACAGGTTAAAGCAGATAATCAACATGTGTCCTCCTCGAAGGAGCTGTTGGGTAAAATCAGACTTCTTTTCAAACTGACATTACCATTCATTTGGGAATTCTGATCACTGAGGTCAACTGATGTATGGTTATAAATGTACAAATCATAAACAGCATCATGAACAGTGAGAAGCTGTTTTACTCAATTTATAGCTAACATATTTGACACCATTTTAACAGTTTCAACAACAACAAAAATAATTCAATTAATTTATTAGTTAATGTAAAGTCAAGTCAAGAAAGCAAATCCATTTTGATTCAAAAAAAACCCCAAAACCTCCAATACGAGTATGAGGGTCCTGGCTCATGGCTATAAAACCTGCTCTGCCCGACAGCATTTTAAAATCCTGAATATAAAGTTGTTGTTTTTTTCAATAAATTTCAAGACAGAAAACAAAGGATTTTTCTATAAGTTGGTTTATAACAATAAAGGTTTGTTTCTGATAATTTATGTAAAGCTGCAAAGAAAGAACAGAACAAAATGTTTAAATAGACCTAATGTCTGGACTCACAATGCACTTATGCTCACTTAATATTTATTTAAAAAATAAAGATTAAAAGTTTGAAGTTTTTCTGTTGAGTAAGAAGAGGAGGAGTAGTGTCATAAAATAATATCTACAGATGATAGGTATGAAAACAATTCAACCATGCGACTCCTTATCTTCTCTGCTGTTATTTTAACAGAGGACTTCTATGGTAGTAGCTACTCAAATGAGCTTCTGATTTGAATACAGAGCAGTTAGACAATTGTGCCAGTGTTTTACTTTGATAAAGTAACTCTTAACTGTTAGTATAAAGAATAATTCAATTACCTTGAAAGAGAAAATCTTTGATGAGGGATTTTCTACATCACACTATTTTTATTAGGTAATCCAGAAACAGCTGTGAAATCAGCTTCATTAATCTAATGCAGTTAGAATTACTTATTGTAAACTCAGAGAAATGTCAAACTAATTTGGTTCTGAAGTGTGTAATTTTGGTTTGAAGAGATTTTCCACAGCAACAACATTTTTCCAGTTTTCCATTTTGTTGTATTTCAGCTTGGATTGTTTTGATGAGGTTCATCACCCATAGCAGCTGACTGCCTCTAACTTCTCTCAGACTTTTAGTGCTAAAACACTTTGTGAATAACTCTAGGAACAGGACTGACACGTCTGTTATCCTCAGGACTTCCTCCTAACTCTGCCAGATAGGAGCCACTTTTAGCCTTAGTGTGTTTTGTGTTTACAGCCCCAGAAGAACGATGGAAATGTGATTACTCCAGAGGTGGGCAAAATGATATCCATCAGTGTTTTAGGCAGTAGGCCTGCACTGTTTAAGCCTGTTGCTGAAAAAAGATGTGGAAACACTTGATAAGCTGTCCTCAGCACAGAAACATGACCTGTACACTGCAGAATCATCTGGATAATGTTGACAACAGGTTAAAGCAGATAATCAACATGTGTCCTCCTCGAAGGAGCTGTTGGGTAAAATCAGACTTCTTTTCAAACTGACATTACCATTCATTTGGGAATTCTGATCACTGAGGTCAACTGATGTATGGTTATAAATGTACAAATCATAAACAGCATCATGAACAGTGAGAAGCTGTTTTACTCAATTTATAGCTAACATATTTGACACCATTTTAACAGTTTCAACAACAACAAAAATAATTCAATTAATTTATTAGTTAATGTAAAGTCAAGTCAAGAAAGCAAATCCATTTTGATTCAAAAAAAACCCCAAAACCTCCAATACGAGTATGAGGGTCCTGGCTCATGGCTATAAAACCTGCTCTGCCCGACAGCATTTTAAAATCCTGAATATAAAGTTGTTGTTTTTTTCAATAAATTTCAAGACAGAAAACAAAGGATTTTTCTATAAGTTGGTTTATAACAATAAAGGTTTGTTTCTGATAATTTATGTAAAGCTGCAAAGAAAGAACAGAACAAAATGTTTAAATAGACCTAATGTCTGGACTCACAATGCACTTATGCTCACTTAATATTTATTTAAAAAATAAAGATTAAAAGTTTGAAGTTTTTCTGTTGAGTAAGAAGAGGAGGAGTAGTGTCATAAAATAATATCTACAGATGATAGGTATGAAAACAATTCAACCATGCGACTCCTTATCTTCTCTGCTGTTATTTTAACAGAGGACTTCTATGGTAGTAGCTACTCAAATGAGCTTCTGATTTGAATACAGAGCAGTTAGACAATTGTGCCAGTGTTTTACTTTGATAAAGTAACTCTTAACTGTTAGTATAAAGAATAATTCAATTACCTTGAAAGAGAAAATCTTTGATGAGGGATTTTCTACATCACACTATTTTTATTAGGTAATCCAGAAACAGCTGTGAAATCAGCTTCATTAATCTAATGCAGTTAGAATTACTTATTGTAAACTCAGAGAAATGTCAAACTAATTTGGTTCTGAAGTGTGTAATTTTGGTTTGAAGAGATTTTCCACAGCAACAACATTTTTCCAGTTTTCCATTTTGTTGTATTTCAGCTTGGATTGTTTTGATGAGGTTCATCACCCATAGCAGCTGACTGCCTCTAACTTCTCTCAGACTTTTAGTGCTAAAACACTTTGTGAATAACTCTAGGAACAGGACTGACACGTCTGTTATCCTCAGGACTTCCTCCTAACTCTGCCAGATAGGAGCCACTTTTAGCCTTAGTGTGTTTTGTGATTACAGCCCCAGAAGAACGATGGAAATGTGATTACTCCAGAGGTGGGCAAAATGATATCCATCAGTGTTTTAGGCAGTAGGCCTGCACTGTTTAAGCCTGTTGCTGAAAAAGATGTGGAAACACTTGATAAGCTGTCCTCAGCACAGAAACATGACCTGTACACTGCAGAATCATCTGGATAATGTTGACAACAGGTTAAAGCAGATAATCAACATGTGTCCTCCTCGAAGGAGCTGTTGGGTAAAATCAGACTTCTTTTCAAACTGACATTACCATTCATTTGGGAATTCTGATCACTGAGGTCAACTGATGTATGGTTAGAAATGTACAAATCATAAACAGCATCATGAACAGTGAGAAGCTGTTTTACTCAATTTATAGCTAACATATTTGACACCATTTTAACAGTTTCAACAACAACAAAAATAATTCAATTAATTTATTAGTTAATGTAAAGTCAAGTCAAGAAAGCAAATCCATTTTGATTAAAAAAAACCCCAAAACCTCCAATACGAGTATGAGGGTCCTGGCTCATGGCTATAAAACCTGCTCTGCCCGACAGCATTTTAAAATCCTGAATATAAAGTTGTTGTTTTTTTCAATACATTTCAAGACAGAAAACAAAGGATTTTTCTATAAGTTGGTTTATAACAATAAAGGTTTGTTTCTGATAATTTATGTAAATCTGCAAAGAAAGAATGGAATAAAATGTTTAAATAGACCAAATGTCTGGACTCACAATGCAATTATGCTCACTTAATATTTATTTAAAAAATAAAGATTTAAAGCTTGAAGTTTTTCTGTTGAGTAAGAAGAGGAGGAGGAGTGACCTGCAATAATATCTACAGATGATAGGTATGAAAACAATTCAACCATGCGACTCATTATCTTCTCTGCTGTTATTTTAACAGAGGACTTCTAAGGTAGTAGCTACTCAAATGAGCTTCTGATTTGAATACAGAGCAGTTAGACAATTGTGCCAGTGTTTTACTTTGATAAAGTAACTCTTAACTGTTAGTATAAAGAATAATTCAATTCAAGAAAGTCAAGTCAAGAAAGCAAATCCATTTTGATACAAAAAAAACAAAAAAACAAACACCAAAACCTGTTTTAGCCTGTTGCTGAAAAAGACGTGTGAACACTTGATAAGCTGTCCTCAGGATCATGACTATAGAACCTGCTCTGCCTGGCAAAATTTTTAAATCCTGAATACAAAAAGTTGACTGACATTTAGAGAGCTGCTATCCCCTCTTTAACTATACACACACATAATGTATACATGATAAACACTCACAGTGAATGATTCCAATCTAATGCTCATCTAAACATACTGTAAAAATCTACACCTAAGTTATTGTACAGACTGGTACAACCTGTTTTGAACAAACAATCAACAAAACTTTTTAATACTTATTATATGGTTTAAGTAATTATTTCTTTCAACAGTAATTTTATTGGGCAAACCAGCAATGGCCATGAATTATTTGTAAAAAAAAAATAACTCCCTGTTGTGAATATGAGGAATTGGGTGGGGAAACATGGTATTGCCCATAAAATATGTTGACAACTGTTATCCTCTGGCTGCAAGTTGTAGTATTCAAATGAATCGGGGACAGCCATGGCACCCATGGGCTGGACAAAGATGTGATATTATCAAGCTTACTGTTCTGAACTGTATATAAGAATATGTGTTTCTTTGCTCCAACAGGCTTTGTCAGTCTCACTGAAGAAGGTAAGACCTTTGAAACAATTTCTTTTACATGGCCTTCTCTAATGACTATGACTAATGAAATATTGTTGCATGACAGGTGAACGGCTACAGCTCGGAAGTCATTTCCTATTCCCAAATTATAACCCTGACTTGTTGCTTAACATTGTAAAGGTAAACATTGTCTTATCATTGTCTTTGAAATCGTGTATCTTAAAATATCCACAGCCCTCATTTAGTATTGCTTGATGCTACAATGCAAAATTCAAAACAAATTAATTAAAAATCAGTGGGGTGCTTTATATTTCTTTGTGATTCTGACACTAACTGTCTGTTAGTTTTAGCCATAAAATATAAAATTTTTGATGCATATAATTTTCCCTCCTATTAGGGTATCATGGTTTCAAGTTATTCCCTTATAATGTTCATTACTGTTACATGTTCTCCTACGTTCATACTAGGTTCCCACTGCTGGAAAAATGAGGAATCTGGTCGTGTTTGTTGTCATCCTTCAGCTGTCAATCACAATAATAGACACTAAGGATGAAGTAGGTTACTTTCATTTATTTATAATTTAATTTCACGATTTCATAAACTACTGGGGTAAATTTCTACAAGTTAATCATATAGTCTGTAAAATGTAAAAAACATATAATAAAATACAAAACTGAAAAAAACAGCAAATTATATACAGCCACCCCCACTAAGTTATTTTGATTGTGTTGTTTTGCACTGAATGTTGAGTTGGTAAAATGCTTTTATTTCATTCACAGTTCAAATTTGGGGATATAATTGCCTTCCCAAGCAAGCTATGTAACTGTTTCACCTACACGCACTATGCTGTTTGGGTAGGAGACGAATACTTTGAGGGCAAAAAACCTGGGCAGAACATCTTCGAATACAATGGTAGGTGTAGTTAATATGAAAATGTAAATGTACAGGTTTACATATTGACACTGACTGAGAATATCAGTAAAGAGTCCCTTGACCAGCAACACTGTAAAATCTCATGACTCATTAAAGTCAAACTAACTTATCCATTGAAAAACTAAGCAAACTAGCAAGATTTTAAGAAGACACCTCAGAGTCAGATGAGAAGTCCATAATAAATGTTGTTCTCTGTTCACCCACTAGAGATAGGTCCTGTTTTGTGTGGGTTTAGCCTACAAAGATTTGAACAAAGGAAAAACAGCTCTGTGGAAAAGTTCTATGGAAAAGGGGAAACACATCCCTTCCCAGATTTGTCCTGCAAGTCCAGGGATCAAAACTAACATCTTTGGGGTCACAAGCCCACTTCTCTTATCTTTAGGCAACTACTGCCCTAAAATAACTCAAGGACTTTTGAGATTCTGTCATTGCCCACAGCGGTTTTAAAAAAAATAACCTATGATAACTTCTGCCTAACCCAAATGTAGGAACACAAGACCTAATTTTGAAAATGTCCTAGAAATGTGGGAACATAGGGCTGGCCCCTCCTATTCAAATTAAAGAGTTGACACTTTCAGATGTGCAGGTGAATCAGAGGTCTATTACTATATTTGTGATACAAATGAGAATAGTATTATTGTGCAATGCTCTGACTGTTTATTCTCACATCAATGGCAGGACACTTTGAGGTATTTCCAGATTTCAGGGTCGCTGGCTGTGTTTTCAATAAACTCCCGACAGCAAAGGAACACAAGAAAGACAACTACCTTGATGACTATTTCGTAGTGGGGACTTACAAAGAAATCAGGATACGAATCCTCCAGCAGCAACACACATGTAAGACCTATAATCCCTTTGCCAACAACTGCGAACACCTTGCTACCTACATTCGCTACGGAGAAAAGATTTCACTGCAGGTATGTGGGACATAAAAATCCTAAAAATATTTATTATATGTTTTTATGCATAAAAGGATAAGGCTGGCAATATTCCAAAATGTGTCAAAACAAATTAAAAGACTAAAACCAACAACACGCAAAGCTGGATCTAAACTTAATACAAGGGGTAACCGGAGTGCAGGTGATGTGGAATGGGGAGTGTCAGGATTTGAAATGAGAGTTAGTACATGGCAGGGAAGATAGCAAACTAGAAAATGTGGAAATTGAATCTGACTTCTGCTGTGACAAGTACTGTTGAAGGACAGATGGGACTTTTTTTGTGGCTTTTTCAGAATGGCAAGGATGCTGCAAAATACTGCAAAAATAAAGCGCTGGATCCAGAACTACAGAAGATGCTGGATTCCAAGAAATCATGTGAAGCACTGTGCAAAGCTTCCTCAAGCAGGGGTCCTGGTTGAATGTCTTTCCAGTCCTGTCCACCTGTGTGACCTTTCCTCACATGAAATGAGGTCTTATTTGAAATAAAAAGGAGAAAGAACTGCTTGTCTTTTATTGTCTCTGTTAGTGCAAGGAGTGGCTATATTCAAGAAAATTATTCTAACTGGCTACACACTTAAGGTACACACTTTAACATGTTTTTTTTCAGCTGTAAACTAAATTATATGACTACAGTAATGAAACACATCAATGCTGGTATTAATATTGACATTTTTACCAAAGTTATAAAAGCAAACAGTGATCATATCAGTGAAGAAGGAATGATTTAAATTTGGATTGTTTCAATGAGGCTAATTTCCATTTAATTCAATGCTGTCGAGAGGACAGAGGACTCCTATGCTCACTGTAGTTGTCCCACATTGATCATTTGATAATGCTGCAGGCTCAATATGACATTGACTCTAATGTCCCTCTAAAAAGGAAAACAAATACCATTTTGCCTGAAAGACCACCCAGGAGCACTCACCTCTGCAGAGATAAAGCACTTTGAGGGGTTTGTCAAGCATTACATCTGCTGCTTACTACTCAGCACAAGACTCAATGTGTTGCAAAGAGTGGTTGGTTAGGCTGATTGTACAAAAACCGGCACTCGACCCTATCTAATATTTACACCAAGTGCTGCAAGAAAAAACACATCACACATTGGAATAGTCAAAGAAAAAAGTTGTAATATTTATTGTAATAACTGCAGCCATGCTCTAGACACAGGAGACATATTTAACATTTTAAAACCAGACTGGAAAGAAAAATGAATGACAGTCATGTAAGGAGGCATCCAGAGGGAAAATATAAAGCCTTGAAGGGGATGTATGTGTCAGAGAGAGTGATGTAGGGTAAGGAGTAGGGATGTTGGAATGTGTTACAAGTTGAGTAAATATGTGAGCATAAAAAGCTCTGTTGTCTGAAAATAAATAACAGCAGCATCTCTGAGCCACAAGTCACGTGATGGGAGCGAGTTCCTCCAGACGGCTGACGAAGAGTCACATGAGACAGAGTTTCTTCACATTTTACATTTCCTCCAATCCAGTCCTGTTTTACTGAATGACTGGGTTTTTATGAGCAGTACAGTATTACTGGTACATCAGCTGGGGGACACATTGGTCTGTAACCATAACAACAGACACTCTTTGTTCATTTCTAAAAACGTTTGAAGACCTGCTCGGTCAGATTTCCTGGTGGGTCCACACACGTGCAGGTACTGGTGGTTAATAAAATTGACTTTATTTTCCTCCACCACCACAAAGAAATCTATTTCACAAGACATATGAACTTGTATTGGACCCGCAGATCAACTGTGTTTCAATCTTTGAATCAGGCAATTAGGGAATCAGACGCCTGATTCAACTAAATTCAGGTGTCGAGTTAATTAGCAGTTAAAAACAAAACAGTAAAATGTTGCGATCCTTCTGTCTTCTGACTTTTGTTCTGACTTATTGGGGAAAAACAAGCTACATATTGAACACCTGATCTAATCTAAAGCTCCCATCACAGTGAAGTCTTCTTCATCGTCACCAATCCTCATCAGCGTGCGTTGACGGTCGCTACTCCACAGGCCGAATGCCCTTGGCCTCTTCCAGCTTCCTCAGGGTCTCGTCCCACTGGGTGAACTGCTTGGACAGCAGGAACATCTGCCAATCAGAGGTCAGGGGGGTCAGTGGGTGGGGCATTGTCCCAGCAGCAGTTTATGTTATTAAGAAGACCGTGAGACACCAGAGCAGCAATCTAAATTTCTGTTTTGCTACAGTGGCTGGTGGATCCTAAACTTCAATGTATTATTATTCTTTATCCCCCAAGACATAAGAAGTTTGCAAAGACATGACATTTGATCCTATGGCTTTTGTGTATTATAATTTGTCTCGTGGTAATGAAATTTAAAAGAATTATGTAAAACAGTGTACCATTTTGTTGTATTCCTCAAAAAGCTTCTTCACTTCCTGTGACTGAGCCTCAGTTTGATCCTGTGAAAGAGACAAACATTGAGGAGTCAACAGATAAAACCTAATGAGAGAGACACACGAAGAGGCAACTGGAGGGAGAGAAAGAGGGAGGATACCTGTTCTTTGATGTGAATCTGTGACAGGCGCTGCAGCTTGGTGGCGTGTTCTGGTACATCTGTGAACAACAGACAGACAGACACACACACAGATAACACAGGCCTGTCAGGGTAAACACACTAATGAGGTTTCCCCGCTCTGTTGATCCAGTAACTACAAAACACTACATCATTGAATAAAAAGGGCTGGAAATTCTAATTCAAATGTATTTATTTATTTATCTGTATCACAAAATGTTGCCATGAAGTTTACAACACAATCACGGTTGAACACTGCCAGAGGCACCAGAAGTAGAACTGGGAATACGGCGTGCACACAGGGACACAAGTGAGGCTGGAGAAACACACATTTCAGCCAAATCCATTCATCACTCAACTAGAGCAGATGTTGATTTGTTCTTGATTTCGCTTGCTGAAACTCACCTCTGATGTAGGTGCTGTCCAGAAGTGGCTGCAAGTTGCTGACCTGCTCCAGCAAAGCAGCCTGGGAAAGCAGAAAGTCCTCCTCTGTGGAGACAAACACACAAGAGCTTCACAGTAAGTACTGAATCTGATGCAAGGTGCTCTTTTTGACTTCCACAATATACAATTTCTGTGTATGTGATGACATAAGTCAGTATAACATTGGATCTGTACAGCATTAAACATTAGTATTATAAGAAATAAATAAATGATAAAAGCCTAAAAATAAATAAACTCCTCTTTAATTGGGCCCTCCAGGTTCTTACCAGCGAGAATGAACTCCAGCTTCATGGCGTCAGGTACAGCGATGTGGTCTGTGAACTGGGGGTCCAGATACTTCAGCAGGTCCTCAACTGCACCGCAACACAGATAAACACGATCAAAGACTCTCCGAACACTGTCAGAACTCGGACTCATTTTAATGTTCAGCAGGCACTGTGAATGATATTACTTTAATACAAAAATATAATAATAATTGAGGGTTCTCAGGGGGTAGGTACCATGTAATTACAACATCCACAGTTCAACTCCCATCCAGGAGACCTGTGTAACACTGCATACCCCTCCGTATCCCCATGTGTAGAGTCTATCTCCACACTGACCATCAAACAAGGGACATACAACCAAAATGCTGAGGGGGAAAAAAAAATACTGCACATAAAGACTCTGCCCAATACAATGCACGAGTAAGTGTATCAATGTAAAGCAGTGTTCTTTCTGGGTAACTTAAAAATAATTACGTGCAGAAATCAATAAAGCTCCAACAAGTGTGTAATTGGTTTAGGACATGTACAAGTCAGCGTGCCACTCACTCTTCTTGTGCAGGATCTTTACTCGTTCTCTCTTGTTGGCCGTATTGGTCAGACCCGCCTGAATCCTGGTCAAAGACTCGGCACACTGCAGGACAAAGGACAAGGAAAAGAGTAAAGATTAGTGATTAACAAGGGTATAGGAAAGACACTGCTCCTCTGATCTGCCTTTAAGGAGGTTTATCACTTTCAAAAAGAAGAATTTGCCTTATTTATTTTCAGGTTTTTTTTTGCCGAACTTCACATGGAATAAGTTTATGGTTACAGCGGGAAATTTAAAGTCAAAGTATCAGAGACATAAAACCACTTTAACTGGCACTTTCTCCACCCCTTGCAAACACAACACATACCGATGTTCAATGCCCCTTTGTGAGTTCATCCCATCATATGATGCTCTGATGAGAAGCCCCATTCAGTGGCTCAGAAAGGACCAGACCACAAATTCATTCCGTTTTGATTATGAGAGATAAAACATCCCATTCACTGTCCAATCGATATTCAGATTGATTGATTAATCAGAATAATCCAGTCCTACAGAGCAGTGTGTCATTTATATTCACAGTTCATTGAGCTCAAACATGCCGCAGTTTGTCCACCGTTACTGCGTTAGAGACTGGTGCACTGTGGATGAGTAATGATCCGGTTATTGATGAGTATTGATCCGGTTAATGGACAGAATGAGACAGAGAAACATCCCTGAGGCTTCACCGCTGTCGGCTAGCTCACTAGCTTTTCAATTAGCACCGTAAAGCGACTACAAAGCTCACCTAGCAGCTGTTGAGCTTGTAGTTTAACACACACACTGCTTGTTTTTGTCTTAAACTTAATAAAACGTGCTGGGAGTAATCGATGTGTAATCGATGTTTAACGTAAATACAAAGGGCGTTCACTCTGCTAAGCTAAGCTAACAGCAGGCTAACCCTTTTACCGCCCACTCATAATAATAATAATAATAATACAAATATAAAAGTTGTTATTCTGGACGGACCTTGGCGGGTTTTACACTCCTGTTCCTCCTCCCGCCGTGTATACGACCCTCCAGGGCCTGGAGACGCATTTCCAAATCACCCGTCTCCATTTTTTTATCCATTGTTGAAGCTACTGAACCCAAACAGCGCCGGCTACGTGTTAAACAAGCGGCGTCGCATAGAGGTGACGCGTTATTTATTTATTTATTTATTTATTTTTAAATATAACCTGTGTTTTTTTTTTTATTTTTTTTCTTTAAACGTGTAAAATGTGTAAAATACAAACAAAACGTTGGTTTTAATTAATAAATAATTTTAAAAAACCAGTTGTTTTTTGCCGCGGCTGCAGTACCGCCGTGCTGCCGTTAGGGGCCGCTGTTTTACGGTGAACGGGGTTTTCAGCTGTTTTCCGGTGACAGCAGGGGAATGACAACACCGACGGTCACGGCCCTTCTTCCATTCAAGCATCGACACAAAGTAAGGTTTCCCCTCGTATCACAGTGTCCTCCGCGCACACGGTAGGTTTCATCTCAAGGCTGTAACAACAACAACAACAACAACAACAACCACCCAGGAAGCGAGCACGTTTTGTTGACTGTAAACAATTTTCTTCCGTAGGTTTCCACTTGCTACGTTAGCTCGCCTAGCCCTCGAGCTAACGTCGGTTTTCTTTACATCTGCGTAGTTTGACAGGCTCGGAGTTCAGTTTGGGAGTCTAGCCGGTGAGTCGCTGTCTTCTAATGGAGTATAACTTAGTAATAACTCCCCTAGTGAATTAATAAAGACATATATATATATATATATAAAGCTGAAATACTTTGAGTCAAGGGGTTTCTAGCTTTGTGTTGCACTGGCTGCTCCATTGTCGGGTTTGGGGGGGGTTTGTGTTGGTAAAACTTTGATTAATGCTGGCTCTGTCTGTTGTGCTCTGTTGTTTGACAGCAAGAAGCAGTCTGCCGCTGCACTTCAGGCTCTGTGTTTGGGGGATTTTCTTCTTTATGTGCCTCTGGGAGCAGCAGCAGCAGCAGCATGGCAGATGACAAGGACGTGTTGAGAGACGTGTGGTTCGGCCGGATCCCCACCTGCTTCACTTTGAACCAGGATGAGGTTACTGAGAGAGAGGCCGAGCCCTACTATGTAAGTTACTTTCTGACTTCACATGGCCACAAAGAGACTCCATGCTTTCTGGACGCCACTCTTCAGCCTACATACCTCTACCAGTATGTACAGGTGTATACAGCTGATACGTTACTCATACTAATAAAATATTATAGCAGTGTTCATTCATTTATTACCTATTATTGCTTCCTGTGCACCCTTTCTGTCAGTCTGATAGCGGCTCATTGGTTAATGGCCTGAAGAAACAAATGGATTTTCACCAAAGGCATAAAAACTTTTGGACACCTTACCTGTGGCTCAATATCCGGGGACACAGTCCACACGGAGGGTCTCTGGGGGTCCTCCCACATGAGATTTCGAGTGTCAAACACCATCTGTATGCTCATTTCATACACATGGGGAAAATGTTTTGGTCCGTCAAAATAACTCGTCTCCGCATCCTCTGCCCTCGGACGTGGTGGTCCCCCTGCTAGATGTTGCTTCAGGTCGGACAGGAGACAGAGATACTCATTCCCACTGATAGGACTGACTCGCTTGTGATCCATCTGCTATCTGTCCCTCTCTTTTAATGAGTCTCCGTAACCATGGCGACCAATGCCGAGTGACGGTTTACCTGCAATGTCTTGTGAAACGCTCTCGGTTTGTTTATTATTCCTCGTCATTCCAAGCACACAGAAACGTAGTGTGTGCATCAGAGTAGGTTGCGCAGAATGATGAGACAAATATTGATAATGAGACGTATTGATAAAGTAAAGGACAGTGCGTTTTAATTTTTCAATAAGCAGCAGAATTTGGAAAACTTAAAAGTATAAAATACGTGTGAGATACGTAGCCTCCGACTGTACTTAGCTTGGTCAGCTTGTGTTTTGATGATTGATTGATTGTGAAGCCAACACAGAGCAAGTTGCAATGTTCTCATTTTCAATAAATGCATCTAGCACTGCAGACTGACTGCTTGCAGCTCTCTACCACAGTGAATAAAAGGATGTGGACAAAGTTTGCCTATTACTGGTTGGCCAATAGTTTCCTTTTATGTAATAATTAATAATGCCTCTCTTCCTCTCTACTGTCTCCCAGCTGCTGTTACCCAGGGTGAGCTATCTGCCCCTGGTTACAGACAAGGTGAAGAAACATTTCCTCAAAGTGATGAAGGCCGAGGACGTAGAGGAGATGTGGTTGGAGTATGAGGGGACGCCACTGAAATGGTGAGAAAGCAATCGTTAGATGAACTGATTTTACTCGTGCTATCAGGGGAAACACGATCGAGTGCACTGTAAATAATTACACTGGTGGATTTCAAATTTGTCCCTCATCATATGGATTTGCGGTCTATATTACAAATACATGTAAGAAGATCAATTCAGTGTATTTTGAAATTTCCTCCAATGGCTCACTCCCATAAGAACTAGCACTGTCAGCAGGGAACTGGATCAGTGTTGCGTGTTGTATTTAGACGTCAGCTTGAAAATAAAGTTTCCATTTCCCCAAACTGTTAAAATCAGTTTCATGGGACTTTAGATATTCTTCCTCTTGTTTGTGTACCTTGTTGTTATGCCTCAAGTAAACGGCCAGGAGAAACAGCCTCCATTGGTACTGACCACGGGCGACTATTTAGTTTCTTATCTTCCAGTCTGCTGAGATCAGCAGCACAAGTAGAAACAAGGTTCAGCCACAAGGTGTCAGTATTGCAACACAAATGACGAAGCCTCTGGTTTACAGTAGCATCAGAGTTCCAGTAGTTCCAGTAAAAACACAGCAGATTGAGCAGATTGAAAATGAGCAGATTGATAGTCATTTTATTGTTTGTTATGAATGTAAAAGTTTCTAAAAGTTCTGCTGCTTTTCTTTTATCATTCTAAATTACAGATTCATCGCAGATATAATACTTTTGGGGTTTTTTTTGGACAAACACAACAATTTTAAGACATTACTTTAGCGTCTGGCAACCCTTTAATAGGGAGATGGGAGTTTTGAAATTAGTTTTAGTCATTTTATAAATTCCAGATTTGGTACAACTTGTTGGCTTCAGGGAAACTCGAACTAAGCAACCAATGTGATAAGTTTGTGTGATTGACCACAAAAATACCTAAGAAAATACACTCATCTGATTCGAGACCGTGATAAAGAAAAGCATCTAATCCCTGTTGACTGAAGCATAATGGACTGTCCCTAATCTAAACACAGGACGTGACAAATAGAAATGTTGACTGAACTGTAAACTGTCTACTGAAGTTTACACAATGCAACCACAGAAAGCTGCAAACAGCATCAGATGACACCATTTCTGTGTGCTAGCGCTTTGAAGCTACAGTTAAACATAGCAGCCATTTTGAGACGGTTGTTTCAAAAGGTATATATTAGGATAATATCTGTTTTTCGATTGATATTTTTCCAAGATGGACACACAGTATTTAGGAGACTTTTAATATGGAGGCCATATGGTGGTGTCAGTTTCTAGATGGCTGATAAAACAGGTGATTTGGCTGCTCAGTGTAACATTTTCCAGCAAATAACTAGAGTGACATTAGTTTCTTGGGAACTGACCTCAGTCTTCCTGTGATTCCTGCTGTTTGTAGTCCAACAAGGTTTTCACCTGTAACAGTTTGCTTCTCCTGTTTGCAGGCACTATCCAATTGGAGTTCTCTTTGACCTCCACGCCTCTAACACTGTCTTACCCTGGAGCATCACTGTGCACTTTAAGGTCAGAGTCAGTGCAGACAGGAGGAATGAATGTTGGACACAAATACGACTCCACATAAATGACAATGTTAGCTAGCTCATTGTGGAGTTCTTCTGCCCCCTGGTGGCCAAAAAATTACAATGTAGCTTTAAGTAAAAATGTTTGTCTTGGGCGTGTGGTCAGAATTTTCCAGATCGTGACCTGCTCCACTGCACGTCAAACTCTGTGATCGAGGCTCACTTCATGTCCAGCATCAAGGAGGCCGACGCCCTCAAGCACAAGAGCCAAGTCGTCAACGACATGCAGAAGAAAGACCACAAACAGCTGTGGATGGGCCTGCAGAACGGTGAGACACACACACACACACACACACACACACACACACATTCTATTAGCAGCTGTGAATGTGCATGCTAAAAGGTGAGGAGGGCAGGCACACACACACACACACACACACACACACACACACACACATTTCAAAGGAGAAAGACCACAAGCAGCTGCAAGGGAAATAAAACACATTCACTCATTGACACTCAGATGCACACATGTTGTCCCCCCTGCAACACCTACATGCAGATTCACACATGCTTACACACACACACACACACACACACACACACACACACACACACACACAAAATGCAGTCTCTCTTCAGTCTGATAGCAGTCTTTGAAGCCTCCACTTCCAACACTACTCCCACCCACCAGCTTCCCTTTCCGTTTCCACCCATGTGTCCAGACAGGTTGATTTCCTATTGGCTGCTGGTTGTGACTGGTGGTTTGTGTAGGTGAAGCTGGGGCAGTGGGGTTGAATCATGGAAGCTTGTGATGTGGGCTCGTCTTTGAAAATCAAAACCCAACAGACAGCGTGAGATTCTTGGAATCACTGCAGGTCGAGTTGATCAAACCAGGCAACTATAAACACTTTGGCTGCCAGTCACGTAGCTAAGTCAGTAATATAAAAATATGTCACCTTGTTTTGATCTATCATTTTCATGCCTCTCCTCCTTTTAAATGGTGAAGTATTAGCACACAGTACATGTTTTCCTATTGAATTATTATGGAATTAATTTATAAATAGGGTTGCAACTAATGATTATTTTCATTATCGAATAATCTGTTCAATTACTTCTGTGATTAATCAATCAGTCATTTATGTTAAAATTCAAAAAAAAAATTCCCAGGCAAGGCGATGCCTTTAAATATCTTGTTATGTTCCAAAACAAGAAGCAAAAAATCAAAGATATTCAAAGTAAACTAGTGAAAAAAGCAACACATCCTCACATTTAAAAAGTGGAATTGATTCATCAACATCTGCTCTAGTTATAAATATATTAAAGGATAAAGGGGAGCTGCTGTTTTGATGAAGACCCACAAAGGTTAAAACCACTTAAATATGTGTTATGCATTGTTGTATGAACAAGCCATGTAACGGATAATGACTTTATTATAATCTCAGCGGGACTTTTATATGCGTGAATGCCTCAAATTGGCCTTAGTAGATATTTGAATATATTGTTATTATACTGAATCCATCTGTGTGTGTGTCTGAAAATGGTGCATTTACCGGTATGACAGAGGCTTCATGCTCTGTTGCTGGCTAATGCTGATGGAGTTTGACATTATCAATGAGGGGCAGGTGCCACTTGATGGAAGATCTATAATTTTCCTACTTCAGGAAATAATAAACTGCGAATCCTCAAATAATGACTCATTTAAAGGCAGAAAACAATAGCTGTACTATATTTTTCAACATGAATTATGTTCTCAGTCATTTAATATGTTTTGCCATTTTGTCTCTACATTAATTTGATGTTTGTGAAAGTAAACACAGCTGACAGGAAACCAAACTAATTGCAATGCAAATAATGGCCAAAAAACTGAAGCTTATTCGTTACATTTGTGGTTAGTACTTTCATGTATGTGTCAAAACTGTGCACTGTGCATTTGGCACTGAGAATGTTTTGAACAGGTTTGCAGACAAACTCACAAAAAAAACATCAGCTGCTTATCTCTCTTCCACTTTCCCCTGAAACTAATAGAGAAAGAAATGTCACATCTAGAGAAGGAGAGAAAGAGGACAAAATAAGAAAGAAAGATAAAAAATACATATTTTGTGGACAGGGACTAAAGGAAGATGCTATGAACTGTTTTTGAAGTTCAGGGTGTGGTTCATGCCGTTTTTCTCTGTGTATGACTACATTACACACAGAAAGACAATACTTATTTTTTAATTAAAAAAGGAGTTGGCCCTTACCTGTTACACATGAAAGCGAGAGATGAAACCTTTTCGAAACCAAAACTTTCACGTCCAAAAGAGACCAGAAACAGAGAGAGAGAAACAAGCATAGCTCCTGCTTTCCTCCAGGAGAGAGAAAACAGAAGGTTTTCAGAAGGTTCATGTGAAAGCGAGAGTCGAGGGGAGGTGGAGGGTTTGAAACCAGCACATGCTGGGTGGAATCATTTTTGATGATCAACTGGACGACCAAGGTTCAAGCTTATTTGTTTATTTGTTTATTTAAAGGATCCCTGTTAGCTGATGCCGTGGTAATCCACTAATCTTCCTGGGGTCCATCACTAACATACAATACATTACATGATGAACATTATTTACATTCATATACAATTAAAACACTGTACATACATTTAGATAAAATAGTAATTGAAAATCTCTATATAGATGATTTTTTAAAAAGAATGAGAATTATACACCTCATGTTAAGGAAAAAACAATTACTATTCAGTCTATGATCTGCATGCCAATAAATGCCTCTGCATATTCATATTCATAGCTCCTGTGTTGGTAAGGAACCGGCCTGATACATTTTCCCAGACGTTCACTTTCCATCAACCTTTTAGAGCTGCTTCTTGATCACTGAGCGTGACCTCTGATCTCCATTTGAAGAAGTGGAGGTTTACAGAAATGAGTGTTTCTCAAAGCTGAAGGACAGTTCTAGTCGCTTGCACACAAATTGTATCCTGCCTGCCATCATGCTCCATTACATGTCACACTGTGAGTTTTTTCATTGCATTAGTCATCATTCAGTGCAACCACATATGCAGTTAACTTTGTATGGCTACCTGAAAGGGTGTTAAAACCAACTAAAGAATGTAAATAAGTGTTGTAAAATGTTAATTTGTACTATAAAGTATGCTATGGTGTGTAGTGAAAACATAAAAAAAAGGAAATTCCCTTTGAGGATTTTTTCTGTAAACCCTGTTTTTTTCGCATATTGCCAAAAATGCTTCTATAGCTTGGTTATTACCAAATATACGGGGCTGCTATGGCAGGAACAATATGATGCCTGAGTTTTAGTAACACTACCAAAACTATTTTTTTCTACAGCCCACCTTCTTCCCTTTACAAAGGAAGACAAACTTTAAAAATGAAAAATCTTGATGTAAATCATGAAATATCTGACGACAAATCTTTCAGTACTTGTCAGGTTTTGATACTCGGTGTCACATTTTAGTTGGTACTAAAAATGAGGTTTGGAAACCAGCCCTTGTGAACACTTGATCCAGGTTTTCAGGTTTGCTGGAGAAGGATGGTGAAGATTTGATTAAAATCAACCTGTCTGATCAGCGGGATATCCTACACTTGCTGACCTGTGTGTGTTTGTGTTGTCACAGATAAGTTTGACCAGTTCTGGGCCATTAACAGGAAACTGATGGAATATCCTACCGAGGAGGGAGGCTTCAGATACATCCCCTTCAGGATATACCAGGTAAAACACACACACACACACACACACACACACACACACACACACACACACACACACACACACAAACACAAACACAAACTTTAAAACAACAGACACTATCCCCCCAGTTATATAGAATATCGTTTTTATTTTATCCAGTAAAATCTGAGTCTCTGGACTCCTGAGAGTAAAGCTGAAGTTTGCCCGTCAGCCCAGTAGATGTAGCTAGATGACTGTGTGACAATCACTCTGTTGTCTGATGTTACCAAACCAGACATCGGCTCACTTTGTCCTGCAAGTTACTACTCTCTACAGATAACTGTCATGCTCTATTTAAAATAAGCACCTGGAAGGTAAAAGGTAACTTCCCCTCCTTCTATTCATGTATGAAATTCAGGAATTCATTCCTGTTCAGTTTACAGATGGGGATGAGTAAATTGTTCCTCTGTTTGGCACCCACATACACCTACAGACAGTTAAAAGTTAAAAATATTGTGCAACTGAGGAGTCTGTGACCTTCTTTTGACATATTCATCACTGAAGTTAAAAAACAATAATCGTCTATTGTGAAATCTGGTTTAAAGTCCAGATCTGAAAAACAACCTGCAGTGTGTTCATGCCTGCCATGATACCTGCCTTGAAACAACATGAGTAAGTTTCGGGTCTTTTTGTTTTGTTTTGTTTTGTTCACTTCACGTAATTCATAGTTCTCTTCTCATAGATGAACCTAGCTTGATAACCTGATTAAACCTTTTTCTGTGCTATTTTTCCACCTAATGTTCAAGTGAAACAATGAGAGACACGGATAGAGAAAAAATATTTATGTACATTTTCATGTGAACGCTGCTCCTAAGTCTAAATCATGCCAAGAAACAGGACAATGTCTGTTAGAGGCGTGTGAGACCCAACTTTGCCCTTTTTGGAAATTATTCATCAGTACTTGTATATTTGATACCTGTGACTATCCCTAATTTGTGTGCGATTCCATTGAACTGAGTTGAGCTGGTGGGTGAGCTTCAGGGTTCAGTGCAGGATCAGAAGGCGTAGGCAGACAAGCGGCCTCAGGTTGGGTGTTTCCGTCAAGCCTACACAGCTTTATCCTGACTCAGGTAAAAATTCCCTTTTGGAGGACAAAAAAGAAAGAAAAGGGGATGAATAAGCGGCTGATTCTTGCCTGGAAAACATTAGCACGCTGCGAGCCAGACAGCGGGGGAAAAGTGCCACGCTTTGAGTGTTGGGGCTCTCTATACAGATCTTGAAAGGCTGGAATGGTGTGGAGAATAAATTTGATAACTTCCAGGGTATGAAACTATTCAGGATTGCACAGAATGACTGAAAAAGTTGTTTGTTTTTAACAATTGGTAATATGAAGGAATTATATTAAGCAACAGTGCAATTAAACGTAATTAAAGCCATTTTAATCTCACTGGACACTGAAGAGTCTCGTCCAATCCAGTCCGGGAAAGACATCTGGATCTTTGCAACAAAAACATGTTGACAGTCTGCTTTGAGTCTAGTGGCTGAATGTGCGTGCAGTTAGCCTTGATCTCAAATCACAGCAAACAAAAAGGGCCCCTCAGTGTCACTGAGTCCTGTGAAGGAATTGAAACGTTAGTTAGGGCCTGTCAAGACAAGTTTTGGAAAAATAATGCAAGAAGATGGAGAGCGAGCAGAACAGAAAATAGATGTGGCTTCAAATGTCTGAGCGGAATGACATCTTATGAAACAGAAAGAGGTTTGTCGATGTTAAGAACAGAACAGAACTTAAATGTAATGGTTAGTTGCGAGTGAACTTTCCTACTAAGCATATTTTTCCATCGTCATATCTGCTGTGACTGCTGGTAATTTCCCACTGTGAAGATTTATTATTGAGCGTGTCAAGTTTTTAATGAAACCTGCTGGGCTCTACATATGGCTGCATTTACACTTTGCGCAACGAGGGCGGGGATCCAGCTGTCAATCACTGTCAAAGCTGATTGTTTTGCGTGAATTTCAAAAAGCTCATAAATGCTTTTGTTTTTACTTTCACATCTTCGGCGCGTAAATAAACAAATTTACACTTTGACAAAAACATTCTTGTGTTTAGTAATAAAACATAACTCTTTAAAGTGGCAGACTGAAACATGCAGTCTCACCAACTGCCCGCCCTCTCAGACATGCACTTGTCGCAAGCCGTAAAACCATGTAACTGCTGGCGGGTAGAAGAAACCCAGACCGTTCCAGTTTTGGGTGTTTTTCATGACTGAATTGAAAGTTTCCACAGTCATTTATAAGCTGAGTTGGTTTCATGACAATTGGAACATCAAAGCCTGTGACAACCTCACTGTGTGATTTAGAAAAAAAAAGCATCATTCCTGAAAAGTCTGGATTGTTTTGGAGATGATGTGGTTTTCATCTGCTAAATATTTACGACTAAAGAAAGCCTGTAAAGAAAAAGAGTGGAAACTACATCTGTTCATTATGATCTTGAAAATACTCGTAATGGCAGTTTTCTGTGGCACTGTGAACTACTTTCACTGTCAAAAAGGCCTTGTGAGTGTCCACAGAAGTTTTAGATTTGCACCAAATGTTTGTAAAAACATTTTTGACTGAAATTGATAAAGTATTTTTTAGGTCAGAATATACCACTTCACTTGCGAGCAAAGTGAAAGTGAGTGCACTTAAAATGTCATTAATAATCCTTCGTTGCACAGGAAAACTGTGTGCATATGCCACTACAGTCAGCAAGGTTTTCGATGCTGATCCAGGAAGTCTGTAACCTGTTTTGGATGTTTACAGTTGACAGTTTGGGTAATTAATTTTACTTTTTCTCTTCCATTTAACTTTGTCTGACATGGTTGTTTGTTTATAACTTGTCGGATCATCTGACGGCTTGCATTTTCTTGTTTGTTGAGACGGCAACGATGTACACAGATCTCAACATTTAACTCTGTAAGTGCAATCTTAATATTACTGATAGCAATGAGGGGCAAAACCAAGAAAATGTTGGTTGATAAGACCTAAAATCAAGCAAATAACTTGAGGTTTATGAAGAGTTACAAAATGAATCCTACAGAAACTACGCTGTTGCTAAGGAGAATATACAGTGATGTTCTGACAAGACCAAACACGATATGATCAAACCCTGTGAAGACACTCAGTTTGAGAAAATAGGTGGAAGAGATGGAAAAAGGTGCAGAAACACTGAAAAGAACAAAGCTGTTTGGCACTCTAAAGTCACTGTGGTGACTTAACAGGAGACTGCCTTACACAGAGGAAAGATCCCCCCTCCCACACAAACACACAAACACACACACACACATGCTCAGAGTCCTTCAAAGCCAGATTGTGGTCTTTAGTGTAAATAACATGTGCTGTGTTTGATGCAGACAGAATTAATGACAACACTCAGTCCAAATAACAGAGGGCTCATTTCCGTCTGGCCTGCTCTCCTCATGGAGATGAAGACACCTCATGGGCATGGGCAACACATTTGTGTGTGTGTGTGTGTGTGTGTGTGTGTGTGTGTGTGTGTGTGTGTGTGTGTGTGTGTGCCTTATGTCTTGAAAGTTAAAACGATTTAGCCACCTTTTGTGGCCTGTTATAAATCTCTGATATACATTTTTAGTTTATAACTTTTGTAAGATGAAAGTTTTTCTTTTAATTTAATGTGTTTCTGTTACATAATCTACATCTCTGACATAAATATTATTTTTATTATTTAGATAAATGTAATGAATAATCCCATTTTGGCATTTTCCTCTCCTTCTACGTTACTTTTCATTGTTTCCAACAGCCTATTTAGAAAAATCGTTTGCTTTCCTTACATGTCTGTGTCTGTGAGCACATTCATCAGTCAGCTTCTGTGTGTGTATTCATACATTTGTCATTTCAGTTGCTTCTGCTTGAGCCCTTTTTTCATGTGTGTTATTGTGTGAGTTTTTGCGTATCGCCCCGCCGCGCCCTTTGCTCGGGCTGGCAACGGGACTTATTTGGCTGCCGGTCTGTATTCCTGCTCTAGCAGTGATGCCATGAGTGATTCAAAGAGCCGGAGGGGGCCGTCCGTCTCACTGCGCGGAAAGTGAAAATTACTATCCTTCTTTTAAAGACCGCTTATATTGTTGCTGTACAGGTACACCTCTCTGTTCCCGCTCTCTGACTCAGTGCTTACTCACTAACCCTCAATGCAAGAGCGGGCAGTCCACCTCCACCCGCCCCTGTGTTGTGGTGCCGTAGAAGCTGCTTGTTTTGAGGAATGCATGTTTATTGCCTCCCAGATACATTGTAATGGCTGACTGAGATGAGGGGGAAGTGGTGACTGCACAGACAATTACAAAACATGGGAATGCTGGAAACAGTTCATGCCAAAGGCAACAGGTGATTTTACAGTAATGTTTGCTGCCTTTTTGTTAGAATTGTTAGATTGTCAATGGATTTTTTGTGGTTAGTCTGCTGAATGAAGAGAGGCTTACAGGTTTTAAAAAGGATATTTATGTGGTTTTGTTGGCAAACCTTGCTGACCTCTACACCTTCATGCTGTTAGATGGAGATTTAACTTCTCTGGTTTTGCATTAAATAGTTCACCCAAGGTACCAAAAAACATATTTTCTCATCTCTAGTTACATATAGTTTTATTTGTTCAGTTTTGAGATTTCTGAGACTTTTGCCTCTACCCATATACTGTAGAGATTAATGAAATATTGTTTGTGGTTAATACACGGCTGTAAAAAATAATCAATGGGACACCCTGGGAGCTCACCTGGTAGGGCCAGCAACCCATGTACCAAGGTTGAGTTCTTACCACAGTGGCCCATGGTATTCCTTTGGTAGAAGGTAGTATTGAGTGTTGAGTAGTTATGATATCTGGGCGGATAAAACTATAATTATGTAAATGACAGTACATTCAAATTGTGGATACTGCCATTATGTAAAGAAGCTGGTTTTAGGGAGGCAAAAGGAGACAAATGGAGTAATTAGCTTTACTTGTTTCTATACATTCAGAAGAATTGGTGTGTATAAATCTGTCTTCTAATGTGGTGGAGCTGAGAAATTCTGATTAGCACTGAAATATGGAGATGTTTTAATGGTGTCCAACAGATCAGCCTAGCGTGCAACACTTGAGTGATAAATAATTTAGAATTCAATTCAGTATCCCTTGATGGAGTTTCTACTCTACAGGTGTGCATTTCAAGTTCGAGAAAATGAAGACCGCTAAAAATGAGGTTGGAATTTTAATTTACGAATGGATGGTCTCAGAATTCAGTGGAAACGCTTTCTCTCACCCCTCTCGATTCACGGAAACTCATATTGATGGACGGTGCTATACCCCCCTCCCCCATCCATTGTTTTACTATCAATTAGGTAGATTGAATCCCCTCCATCAATTAGGCGACGTCTTGAGTTCCGCTGTTTCTTTTCACTCAGCGAGAGCGAGTCATCTCTTTTCCCTGAATCCTAATGACACCTCGCTCTCTTTGTGTCGCCATGTGCTGTGGTGCCAGCTAAGGTGTCATGCCAGCTGAAAAGAAAGTGTCTTCATCCAAGCAATATCGCACTTCTCTCCCTAGAGATCAATTGCCCCTTCTTTGTATGGCAACCAGCTCAATTATTCATGGTTGGCTATTTAAAAATGCAATGAAGTAGCTGTCACTTAGCACACTCTCTCTGCTCTGGCTCTTGCCGATGATCCCGCACGAAACGCCATGCTTCCTGTCAGTGACTCAGTCTTTCTGTGTAACCTGAGCGCCGGCTTCGCGCCTCCACTGCCACCTTCCTCTTGCTGGTTCGCGCCTGGCTCTGTGGTGTGTAGTTACCGCTCGGTTACTTAATCCCCATCCTCGCCGGTTTCCTTTTCACAGCTCCATGATTAGGCCCTATTGTGTGTCAGACTCTCGGTTTGACACCTCAGGTTGGGTATCTGCTTGCACCACGTTTCTCTCTCTGAGGCCACAGTTTTGCCCATTGTCCGATGCTGCTCAGTGGCTAGAGTGAGACATTTAACTGTTTTCTACTGAGCCAAAGAATACTGACTACTATTGATCAAACGAGGCATTCAGTGCAATAGAATCGTAATGGTATGATTCAATTGTTTTATCATTCACTGATTCTGTTGGTCAGTAAATTAAGATTAGAATGAAAGACGTTTCAGGTTAAACAATGGACCACAGTTCATTGAGTTGAACATCATTTTAATTATTTAGTCTGGTTTGTTTTTCTTTCTGAAGTACGAAGTCAAGTCTGAACAACAGTCGAAAAACCCAAAAGCATTCAGCTTTTGATGATATGAGAGACAAATGCTGCAAATCCTCAAATGTTTGGCCTTTTTTACAATTAACGCATTATTAGGGGTTTTAAATGTTCCGATATTTAGATATAGATATAGATATAGATATATAGATATTCCACTAATCTCTGGTTTGACCATATCGCCCAGCCCACTACTCCTACTGATTCCACTGATTAACAGCTCTTCGTCAAAGAAACACAACCAATCAGTGAAATTAGCCGGTGTAGTGTTGAAAATGTCCATGCTTCTAAATCACTATGGCACAAAGATAAGATGTACTGAAGTAAGGTTCTTGATTAACCAAATAGCATTATAAGTCACCACCTGACAACAACTCCTGAATGATGTCCAGCGCCTGGTGCCTTGTCTCCTGCACTGAGGACACGGGTCACTCGGTAACCAGAACCACTGAATTTTTAACTCGACTCTGAAGTGATAGTGAGACTCTTGACATTTACAAAGAACATTCGTGCTGACATACCAGAATCAGGTTCAGGAACTGCATATACAGGAGGTTACAACATAAAATGTGTCAAATAAATAAAAGAATATAAGAAAATATATGTTTGGTAGATATTACTTCTACCATAAACACTTATATATGTAACATTTACCCCAGCAGGAATGTTATATTAGGCTTAATAATAATATTCAGTCAGTTTGAGCCTTAGACTATATTATATTTACCTGTCGGAGGTGTTTAGCCTTTTACGATATCTCCAAAAAGTTCCCAGTATCACTGGAATGGCAGGAAATAACTATTTTCTGTTTCCGAAAGTTATGGGCAGCATGACCCTGGGTAACCTGGTTGACCTGGATAGCTGTGCATGTTGCATTAATGAGCTTTCTGCCGAGCACGAAACTGTGAAATTTGACAGCTGATGTGTTTGTCACACTGAAATACCATTTATTGTAATCTTTTACACAGATTTTGTGATTACAGCTCAGGTATCTGTGGTTGTGTGCATATGCTAGGCAAACAAGCAGTACAAGTAGGCTGCTGCAGTCTCAACAAAACAGAAAAAATTTGCAGATTTAGTGCATAATGTGGCTGTTGTGATTTTTTGGGAGGTAAGCTTGTTAGCTTCCCCATGAGCCTCTGTGATGTACAGTTAGTGTAATTCTCACATAACCCACTCCATCAAAAAAACTTAACGCAGGAAGACCAATTATTGCCTCTATCAGATGATGAGGTCAATAATTTAAATGTTTTGGAAGTGTGGTTTTAAGGAAGACTTGTTCTTTGTGTGGCAGATGTCAGATCTTTGATATAAACCACTCACCTAGGTCAGCCATATCTACGGAGCACCAAAAACCTCAAGATACCCATTTCCATCTTCACACAAGTTTATTGTTCACAATATGTGAGATCCAGTCTGAAGTGATTATCTCAATTCAAGTTAAGTCAATTTAAGTGACATAAATAATCACAAGCCGCCTCTAAGGGCATACTAATCTCTACAACATATGACCCCCTCTGTCCTTACGCTCTCCACTACCAGCTCTGTATGTCGTTTACTAGATTTCTGTCTGGTGTCTGGAGGTGATTTCCCACTGTGTTTCCCACACCTATCACTCATGGAATGTTGTGGCTGCAGTTGTGGAGATCAGAGCTGAACAGTCATGAGGATGTTTGGTGCATACGTCACTTTTGTTTGGCTGTCCGGTCATGACTTAGTCGGGTTACAGTTTAGACATTTAGCGGTCGCTCTCCCAGGGTGCTTTGCATTGCGGTCAGCAGTAGGATAAGCTTTAATACCTTCTGTATATTACTACCATGATAAGTAACCAATAGCGAGGAGGTCATCACTTTAACGTTTCTGATTGTAGAAGGAGCACATAACGTTTGGGAAAGGGAAATCATTGTTACATTTCCGTAACAGCGTGCCTTTTTTCCAACAAATATACCCTTTCAGTTTTTTTGCAATGAAACCGTTTATTTTTTAGATTCTAATCAAGTTTTTAGGATGACTTATGGAGCAGCAAGGGGTGCATACTGATTAAGAAAACTCTCGCTCATAAAAGCATCCACATACACCCAATTTACACCTGGTAAGAAAATGCAATCTGTACCCGGACACGTTATCCAAACAATCAACAATCTGATTTTACATTTGAATTTACACCCAGTATTTGTAATGTGTTCTCCTTATCCTCATTGAGATTGGATCTCTGTCATCCAGAGCAAAACCTGTGATTGAGTAATTTGAGTGGTGGAAAATCAGCCTCAGACTCTGTTTAGTGAGTTGTTGAGTTAGAGAAAACTTTATAAACTTTATAAATGCACAGCATGGCAAATGCTTAAATATTTTACCTCTCTTGTAAATGAGTTATTTATTTCTTTGTGTTCATTATTTCTTACTGTATATTATTCATTTCCCACACATATTGCTTTCATTTGTCATATAATTCTGTTGAATAACGCATCTTTTGGAGCTTTCATGGCATAGAATAGACGTATAATCAGTAGCTAGAGGCGAGTCTGTGAAGCCTTCTCGCTTGCATGCTTACATTTTAATGCAAGGCGTAAAGGGGATATTTGTTTCAGTTTGTGTCCTTGAGTAAAAGACTTGGACATTACCATCTCCATGACCTCTCTGTGGAAAAGGGGGGAGCAAACAGAGAAGATAATTTGTCTTCCAGGGAACAACAGAGAATCCCACATTTAATATCATATTTTACTCCACAATTATCTCCATCTGGGAGGCTCCGTGACTGCCAGAGGTGTTTCAGTCTGTGTAGAAGCTGATTTTTCTGCCAAGTACATACTTAAGCAGCAGCTAATGACTTCCAGACTAATTCTGATCAGTGAAACATGTCAGCATCACATGTAACATCTGATGAAATGTTACAGACTGCTAAATATTACATTCTGTGCAGTTGAGCTCATCAAAGCACCGCATTCCCAGGGTTAGGGTTAGTGAGCACACAGTTCATTCACAGCATTTGCGTGCATAGTGAGGTGGACTATTCCCTCTATCTTAACCCTGTGAACTTTATTTTTCCCCTTAGAACTTCCCCTTATGTTTCCTCACGTCCCATTTACAGGATATTCTGTCTGCTTTTCCAGCAATTCCTTGAATTGATGTCACATGTCTGACGAGTAAAACATTTGAATGATATACTGCATTATTTTATGGTTGCACCATTAAATCAAGTTGCCTTACAGCGTCATGTAATACACGTATCACTTTAATTCAGCCTTAAGTATTCTGTGTTTTTGGATTCCCCTGGGAAGAGGTCAAGCAAATGTCAAATGTGTATCTCTTACAAACACTTGAGTTAATATTGTTCTTGAAAAGCTGTAAACATAAGCAACTGTGTGCAGTTTACTGAACATAATCTTTCCATTTGAGGCTTCCAGTGTGCAAACATGCTTAATGCAGCCTAAAACATGTTACAAGTACAGAAGGTCCTCACATTGTAAAAATTATTTTTATTTAATTTGTTCTATGCACTCTACCTTAACCTTACATTACTACTTACTGTCTGCACTATGTTTGTATATTTGTGTTGCCTTGTTTGTTAATTTGTCGTGCTCTAATTCATTACAGACGATGAGCGACAGGCCATTCATCCAGAAACTGTTTCGGCCCGTTTCACCTGAAGGCAACGTGCACACGCTTGGCGACCTGCTGAAAGAGATGTACCCAGCTGCTTTACCAAACGACGGTACGTCTGCACACAGACACACACAGTGACAAGGACCTACACTCTTTTTGGATAGTCAATAGATTAATCTTCAGTAATTTGTGCCCATCTCTTACTGTGAATGCACATAATTATAATAATAATAATAATAATGCATACAAATGATCATATTACATGCCAGACATAACCAGCAGCTAACACTTAGAAGTATAGTAGCAGCCATGTTTTATTTTTGGTTTCCTTATCAAATAAAGGCCTTGTCATCTTCCAGAAGTGAGAGAAGAAAAGAAGCACCTCTCCTCTCCTTTATTTTATTTACACAGCCACAAGAGGCATGTCAGAGATCCACTCTCCCAGATAATGCACCCACTGGGGTGAGGGCTAGATGAGGGGAAAATAGTGGCAGTTGCCAGACCAAGTGAACAAAGATGTGGGAGGAGGAAAGGAGATAATGGGCAGATAGAGAGCAAGGAGACACAAAGCGAGCAAAAATGAGAGCAAACTGCAGATGCGATGTAAAGTCAGAGCACCCCAACAGGAAGTGGTGATGAAGAGAGCTGGAGTTTAAACACATCAAAACCACAACCACAACCATATCTCTCTTAAATCCAGGCAATAGGCAGCGCATGTAAGTTTTCTGTTGACACCCCAATAGAAACTTAATGTTTTATTCTCTGTTTTTAATTATTTGATTTGATTTATTTGTACTATACAAAGCATAAACACTGCTAACAAATAAAATAAATGAATAACAAATAACTAAAACATCCAGAAGTTGTAGGCTTTTATAGCCAACCTCTCCTAAAATAGATACAATATAAAGAACATAAATAGAGGGAAAATAAATGCTCGCAAACACAGTATAGGATAACAGGTGACCCGAAATGAACAGATCAGTGCAGCACCAATCAGCTAACAATGTTCATATTTTATTTTATATTTAAGATGAATTATTAATTCCTTCAATATCTAAATAATACAAGCAAACTAAGCATTTCATTCCATACACAGATGCACTTAAATAGACTATGATGCTGTGGTAGAATAAACAAAACTGGATCAGTTGAATACTTACATCAAGAACAGTGCATGAACAGACATAGTTTAGTTATAAAACAATCATTATAAAATATAGAAGGGAACTGTGTGCAAAATATCCCACATCCCATGAAATGTGCAGCACAAAACAACACGCAAGTTGTAAAATCCTAAAAACGCACAAGGTAACACTGTCCGTATCAGTTTTCTGTCAGTATCAGCAAACTGCAGATAGATTACTACACACATACATACAGTAGATACTATATATTATCCATGTGATTCAACCTTTGTATATACACATGTGGACAGCAGGTTTGGCATTTAAGCACTTATGGCATATGGTTAAGTTGCAGCTGTGGCGGAGGTGTGGTGAAAATGAAAGAGATGCGAGCAGAGAGAGAGAGCGAGAGAGAGAGAGAGGGAGAGACTGAAGTCTAAACAGGCAATGTCTGCAGAGGAGGAGAGAGGAAGTAGATAAGGAGACAATAGTGTGTTAGGACAGACGACCCGCAGGAGACTCACCTGCACGGAGGAGACAGAACCATTAACCCCCCCCCCGCCTCCTCTTCTTCCACCTCCTCTGTCTTACATCTCACAGCTCACTTTCCTTTTCTATTGGTTTGTCTACAAATCTCTTAAAATGCTGTTGTTAGGTCTTATTTTTTATTTTTTGCACTGTGCAGTGACATGTTGCTTCCACTACTCAGATCAGTGTAACCCAGGAATAGCATACAGTATGAGCTTTACACCAGATTTCTTAGTATACTTTTCTGCAGTTATTAAAGTTCATTCTTTTCCCGTATACTGGTTTTTAGAAATGGTGTGCGTGTGAGGTTTATTCAACAGTGTCATTTCAAAAAGAGGAAGCAAAATGTTGCTCCAAGTCAGCATTCAGTGATACCCAGATTTACTGTTAAGTGCATGCAATGTAGTATCCACCACAGCAGGTCAGTAATCGTTTCTTTTACACCCCATCTTTCACCTTATCTTGAAGCAAGTGTTGCTTATCTTGAACTTTATTAGTGATAGAGGACGCTCTTTTTTTACTCTCTTTTTTGTTATGTTTGTGTTCATGTCAAAGCAAACTGATGGCACAGTGATCAGCGTTCTCCAGGAGAAATCTAGTGGAGGAAGTCAGGTTTCTCTAATCCCCTACCCTGTTTAGGAAAACCATGTTTCAACATTAAAAAAATCAGCTAACTGGAAGCTGAAAAAAGCCAAACGTTTTGGTTAAAGCTGGGCTAAATTTGGTTGAATATTTAAAGTTTTTAGACATCTAGTCTACCTGCAATCATTGTTTCAACAGCAGTTTAATACTCATACTACTAAATACTAGAATAGGGCTTTTTATAAATAAACTCAATACTTATATTAATAAATGTCCTTCAACCTGCCATTCACCAAATCAGTGTTGACTGGGACTAATGATAGACTGCAAACCATCTTTACTAGACACAGCTGGACTTGACTTAACACTGGTTTATCCTTCATGTGTTTCAGTGCAGTGACTGGGACCATGCAGTTGGAGAGCTCTAGTCAAGTACTGAACGAGTCAGTGAACAAATGTTTTTAATGAACTGATTCAAATGATTCAGTACACTGAAAAAAAATGCTTTGCCTATCTTCACCAAATGACACTTGGTTGTTCACCGGCAGAGCATACATCTGCTTGCAGAGAGCACATAAGCCAAAGATCATTTGTGAGAAAAAAGAAGCACAACTCTATAACATCACTCAATGGACACGAGTGAGTGGTGTGTTTTAGTTCAGCAAGGACAAACGCATTGAATAAATGCTATTGTTGTTGTAGTGTGTATATTTTTTTAGGCAAGGCCTAAAAGTACAAAAAATATATTTTTTTTCACCAGGAAATATCAGAAATCTATTGTTTGTACAAGTCTCTGTCATGGTTTTACAGCCTTTAGTTGATACATTTCAGACCTGCCAATCTCTTTGTTTTTGGCTTCAGGCAGCATGAATAACTTCAGCTGACATTTCCGATCAATAACAGCTGTAAGTACTAGGATGTTATTGAACGATTCTTTTTCTTGGACCGTTTTTCTAACACTAATCCTCTCCAACCCAGTTGTTACAAATTATGTATTTTAACAGTTTTGCTTAAAATTTTTCTGACAGTCATAGGATATCTCTGTCTCCACCTAACAGTCTGTTCCTTTCTTTCTCTATAGTTTCCCTGATCTAAGACTCCTTTTTTCCTCTTTGATCCTCTGTTGCTCTCTCAGGTGTAGTCTTCAACATCTTCCCTGTCTGCCGTAGACGTCTTTCATGTCTTTGACGTTAAATCTCTGCTTTTCTCTGCTCTCCTCCCTTCAGAGGAGTCTGCCAGCCTGCCTGGCTGATCAAGGTGAAAGTGGCCCTTTTGTCTCTTGTCGTTTGTTTGGTTTCCACCTCTTCCTCGGCTGGTAGATGAGTCGAGTGATAGCTGCAGATTATGGCGGTGTGTTTGGATTAGAGAGACCGGGACGTGTGTTCAGGGACTGGGCGGGGTGGTGGGGTTTAGGGGGGTTTGCTGTTAGTATTGTTCAGGAGTTCAGAAGACTTTTTTTTTTTTTTTTCTGTCGGGACCCTAACATATAACAAAAAGAAGATCTGGGGTGCTCCACTTTACTCTGTGATCTTTCAAACATCAAATAACAAGGTTTTTCATACAATCCTCCCCTCTGTTATGTCTGAGGGAGGATTGGTGTTGACCCCTGTGGGACCCAGAAACCAGTTGCAGCAAACAAATGGGGGTGGCTTGAATTAAGAGGACAAAAGAAGAAGGGGATTCCCAAATCATTCTCAAGCAGTGGCCGAAAAGTCTGTGTTGCTGTGAGGCTGTTGTTCCCCCAGTGCTGCGGGAAAGAAATACAAAACAATATGTTCCTGTAACCAGCGGTCGGCTCTGACGTCTGTTGGAGCTGTCTTGTGTGTTTTGTTTTTGAATCAGGTGTGTTATTGAGTAAGATTTTGGCAGGAATTTGGCACTGGTTTGCTCCAAAACTCGCAGCTGAAATGATGATGCTGCCCACACATGACACACGTGTGTTGACAGGCAATTCTCGTAAGCAAAGATTTTTTTTTTTTTGTTCTTTTCAGGTTTTATCGGAGGTTAACCCAATCATGAAAAAGCCCCCGCATTGATCATTGTCTGTGAATAATCAGAGGAAACCCCCCACCCAATCTGAACCCCCACCCCTCAACCCCACAACCCCACCCCAACCCCTCCCTCCACTTTGAGTGACAAATCCACACGATACTTTGAGAATCCAACCCCTCCTTCCCTCCTCCTCCCACGCCCCCCATCTCAGTCACATCGTTGGTACAGCCCACTCACTCTCGGCAGGCTTTGCCATGCAGGCTGTATGAGGAGCAAAAACTGTTTTTGCTGTATGAGGGGCAAATACCATTTTTGCTGAAACGGGTTGGCTGTATGAGGGGCAAATACTTTTTTTGCTGAAACAGGTTGGCTGCTGGAGGGGGTAGTGTAGGTTTCAGTGGCTGTTCTGATCAGCAGATAGTGGATTATGCTTCATATGCGCAGGCGTGTGAGATATGTGACAGGGGAATTCAGAAAAAGGCTCGAGAGCCTGCACTATGTCGCGTCTGTTGTCGGAATGTGGTCAGCAAAGACTTTTTGCTTTCTAATTCTATCTGCACAGCTTTACTGTAAGAAGGCTTTGAAACCTGCAAGCGTTTTGGTAGAATTCAGGGAGACGTTTGGGTTGATTTTGACTTTCTCATACACTTTGAAATCAGAATCAAAGAATCAAAGTTTGGGACACATGTTGATATTCTCACTAATACTGTGATACAACTATTATTCATAACTCATCAGTGATGTTATTTCTCACAACACTAGTTGTATTACTAGTCAAATCAGTTTTACTTATATCGTCCAAATTCAAGTTTGTCTCAGAGGAATTTATACCGTCTACATTATACAACACATTCTATCCTGAGACCAGCTAACAAAATAT